TTTCGATTATCTTAATATACAGAAGATCAGCTTTGTATACATTAAGTAAGGCTTTCAACAGTTTGCTCCCACACAGAAACATAAAGTGAAAAATAATAGATGATTTTTTTTAATGATGATGAAATCAGATCAGACCTATTGTCATGTTTAATCCCAGTGAGAGTCAAGTTGGGAGTTGATAGTTTCTTTTCTTTTCTTTTTTTTTTTTTTTTTTTTTTTTTTTTACAGAGGATCAGTTTAGTATGCATTAAGTAAAGATTTCAACAGTTTGCACCCCCATAGAAACACAAAGTGAAATATATTGTTTGAGTACTCATTATAGCATTAAATCTCAATGCACAGCACATTAAGGACAGAGATCCTACATGAGGAGTAAGTGCACAGTGACTCCTGTTGTTGACTTTACCAATTGACACTCCTGTCTATGGCATCAGTAATCTCCCTATGCTCCAGTCATGAGTTTCCAAGGCTATGGAAGCCCCTTGAGTTCTCTGACTCTTATCTTGTTTAGACAAGGTCATAGTCAAAGTGGAGGTTCTCTCCTCCCTTCAGAGAAAGGTACCTCCTTCTTTGAAGACCTGTTCTTTCCACTGAGATCTCACTCACAGAGATCTTTTGCCAGAGTGTCTTGGCTTTCCATGCCTGAAATACTCTCATGGGCTTTTCAGCCAGATCCGAGTGCCTTTAGGGCTGATTCTGAGGCCAGAGTGCTATTTAGGGCATCTGCCATTCTATGAGTCTGCTGAGTATCTCACTTCCCATGTTGGATCACTCTCCCCTTTGAAATCCCCACTTTCTCTCCCACTCCCCTAGATCAAGTAACAGAAGACACTACTAGAGAGAGGCAGAGCTAGTGAAATACACTTGGGCCAACCACGTCAAATCCTAACATCAAGGAGTAAGTTTCCCACTGCTAAAACCAAGAGTCCTGTCCATAAAGTCTATTTTCCTCAAGTTACCATAAAGGAAGCCAAGCTGGCCCTTTGATTAAATTAGTGGAGGAAAAATGGATTCGCATACACATAGTACTCTCAAAAATACCCTTAGCAGGAGATATCCCTTATCAAACAACACAGCAAGTGACAAGGAACCACCAGCTTACAACTACTTCCTTCCCAGTACAGCTCTGCACTGAGTCCTTCCTCATACTGAGCTGAAATCAATCTCCCAAAGACTGCCACAACACAGCGTTCAAACACATCTGAAGACAGCCATGATGTTACCTTAATTTTTAAATCTGAGATAGAGAACAATAGAAGGAAAAGGCTAATCTAATGCAATCTAGGGTGCTCTTGCCATTCCAGTCTTCTCCCTTGAAATCGCTCCAGATCCTTAATACTTCTCTTCATGTTTGGCACTCAAGACATTATGATAAAAAGCACTGAAGATACTGCTGGGAGAAAGAGGCTTTCCATATAAACTTAACATTTTTATTAATTGTGCCTACATTCATTTTACTTCTAATTAAGCAAAGCCCAAGTCTTTTTGTATATGCTGTTTCAGTTTGGTTTTCATGGCGCTCACATAAAATTAATCTTTTTGAACCTATTCGTATCATGTTATCCTTATTTAATTTTAAATATCCTTATTTAATTTTATGTTAGATCCTCTGTTTCTTAATTCTGTTTTCCACGGATTTTTTTCCCCATTCAGCACTGTGGTATGCAGGACTGATAAGTCCGTCATCTATGTTTTCCTTTAAGTAGCTGATAACCTGGTGACCAGAACAGGGAAAAAAAAAAAAAAAAGACAAAGAGTTCTGCTATTAAAGACGTCCCTTCCATTCAACTGGGCAGTAGGTTTCAGGCACAGGGTTATGATCCTTATTACCTTGCTTCATTTTCACCACAACATGTGAACAGGAGGAATAAGGTTTATAAAAATAAAATCACTTTCTCAAAGTCATGTGTTTGTTAAATAGAATGGTTGCTCTCTTCTGTAGCTTAATCAACCATTTTTTTCCTTGTTAACCAGGATTTGACCAAAATAACAGTTCTCCCTTCACTGATTCCTCTACTTCTCAAAAGGTGGTTCAGCCACAAAGGCATTGAAGTTGAGGAAGACCTTACAGCAGAAGTCCAAATAGCTATTTTTGGTTTTGAAGCCTTCTCCCTTCTCAGTTGAGGACAGGGTACAACATATTATCATAGTAAGATGTCTCCTTTAGCCTTCACATTCAAATGTCGTCTATGATGAGCAAACCTCAGTCACATTTAAGTACTTTGGAGTGTTTACTTTCTTGAAATAGATACTTCCTTTTTGCTATCTATCAGAACTGTTTCTAAGGACAAATTCTATTCCTCTATGCTATCTAATCCTCCAATTTTATGGTTTTATGCAGATTTTAAATTCCCTCCTCCCTTTTATTTTTAGTTTAGAGTTCTATATCAGATCTGCAGATAACCAGGTGTACACATTTTCCTAGTCCTTGGGCAATGAGCTCACTAGCCTACAATCTTAAGATACATCTGAGAATTAATGCAGTACCCAAAGTAACTGCAGTAACTGTAATATTCTCCTCAGATCATTTCCTCCCTTTGCACTTGGAATTTTGAAAGACTTCCAGACACAAAAGGAAGAAAATGAAAATACCCCTGTAACTTGAAAGGTTCTCAATTTTCTATACTGGATGTCAACATTTCTTGACATGCTTTCCTTGTTTCTTCTGAGTCAAGTGTCCCACCATAATGAACTGTCACAGCTGGCACCTAGCAGATTTTACAAGTTATTAAATGTTTGGCCTATCTTAGAAATATTCTAAAAAAGACTATTGAGATATATATTTCTGTTAATTCTACTCCCCTCAGCAAGGATCCCTGCACCTATGAATGAGTAGTAGTCTTTTTCCAAAAAGTTTGTAGTCTCACGAGTCTAATATACTTCTAGCAAGTCAAAATTCTTATCCCTCCACTGTTACTGTAAATCATTCTTACAGTTGCTAAAGATGTCAACAATTTATTTCCTTCCCTGCCTCCTGAAATATTTTCTTCATTTCTACAGATCTCCCCATCGTGTCCTATTTATCCTCTAACAACGAAAGCACCAGATATGTCTCTTATACCTTTTTGCCTCTAGCATAAAAACCAAAATACCTCCTTTTTAGCTATGCTAGTATTTATATATTTTGATAAGTTTTCTATTCTTTCCAACCCTAAAACCAAAAGTCTACAACACTGTTCAGCATTGGCTGAGTTCTATTACACCCTGCAAAGGGTGGAAGCTTGCTCTCTGAACAACCTGGTCACTATATGGTTCAGAACGCTGTGTAGACATCTGAGGAGGCCTTGCTAACAGACAAAACTTTCCCGGTCAGTCTCTCTTGGGGACAGATAAGCAACCACAGTGATAGAACTAGCTTTTTCTTTACTGAAATAAGAAAACTAAAAGCTAAAATATATAAAAAGCAGACACTGTTCCTCACCCAATTCTCAGATATCTTTAGAATCACATAAAATTGGGGAAGCCCAACCCAACAGCCAGTTTCATCAGAATGAAATTCTGGGAATTTAATTTAACCTGATTATACTGAAATAGGGAACAGGTTGACAACATTAAGAGTTATCACTGCTTAGAGGGAACATTGTGAGATGGCCTCATAAGAAATATTTCTGTTAAAAACCACAGGATCTTGTTACCTGCTTGAGCCCTTCTCTTGAAGGGATAGATGTTTTCACAATATCATCAATTGCCCACCACTGATCAGCAAGGTAAAGTGCCACAGCTAAAAGAGAATGAGTCATCATTAACATTTAAGTCTTAAAGTATACAATATTATTGTGACTATCTACAAAGACACTTTTAAATACGCCTACATCTTATACTTTATAATGTAGCCCCATTTATAACATTTTCATTTTACCCATTAAACATTTAACTATAAGCAACTGAGAATCAGATTTTCCTGAAATAAATGAAGTAAGTTTTTAAAGAACAAATTCCTTCATGTAGCTATCTTTTTAATGAATTTCTAACAGTTTGGAAAAAATGGTTCTCAATTTACAAAAATTAAGCAAGAAAAAAAGAGACCTGTGAGTGAATCCTCAGGAGCAAAGAGAGCAAGAATTTTCTGAGTTTGATCTCCACCATAAAGAGGCACGAAGCCTACATTTGACAGGCTAATAGGAATCTGAAATGACAATTGATTAAAGATTAGTGAAGAGTCTGTGAGGAAAACATAACACAAACACCAATCATTTACCAAAGGACGAAACTTTTCCTACATAAATTTTAATTATGTAGCTTTACTCATAGGAGATGACATTTCTAATTTCTTTAAAAAAGTCGGGGGAGAGGTGTAAATCAAGTAGACTTCCCTTTTGGAGGAATTTGATCTTTTAGGTGAAAAATGAGTAAAAGCAAAAGCCATGGCATGGCTCACAGAGTCACTAGAAAAACAAGCAATAATTTGTAGTCCCTTACTTTAGACTACACGAGGAGTATATTCCATTTTCTGGTGAATGTTAGGTCATTTTTTTCCAGTAAGATACATTCAATACTTTTAACACTTTTCTGCCTTCATTAATCCAACAGTAATTCCCCATTTAGAGACTTCGCTACAGTTCAGAGAATTATAAAATAGTGGTGCTAAAGAAATCTTTTTCATCATCTTTAACCTGACATAATTTCCAGAAGAAAAACCCGAGGCCTAGAAAGGGTACAGAATTCGCAACCTCAGTTCTCAGTGGAACTCTAGTGATCTCAAGTCTACTGATCCACCATACTCTATCATGGCTACTAACCAAAAGGTGTGATTTCACCACTGTAGAAAAAGAAACAAGATTCATGACACAAAAATGTGCAGTTTTGCTGTTATTTTTTAAATTTCTGAAGAAATTCCTAAACTCAAAAATTCCAAATCTAAACATCAGTTTGCACAAATATGGCAACAAGCCTTACCAAAACTGATAAACTTCTTAGGTATAATTTTAAAGGCAAAAAAAGATAACTATTATCAATAACCTGTGGAATTTATCTTCTTAAAAACTGATTATGGTGCTTTATTAACTAATATATGATTTTTTCTGAATCAATTTCTGAAAAGCATTTTAAAAGTGAATGATTAACACTTTAAAATGAAAATAAGAGGATACTGATTTCATGTACAAAAATGAGCATGAAAGGATAAAAATCACTGCAGAATGCCTCACCGTAACATTGAGAAGAGAAAAGCTCTCTGGATTTTCAGGATCCCCACACCTTAAATCTGACATGTAATCTTCAGCAGCAGTTTCCAGTTCCTCATGACTGCAATTATCCAGCATATCCACAGGGAACGCCATTCTCTTTAACAAAACAACATGAAACAAAACATTTCACAATATGAAATACTACCTGTCTGTACTCAGAAAAATTTTACTCAATATTGCCATATTTTATTGTATGATTTTATTCATTTATTTGAAAGGCAGAGTAACAGAGAGGGAAAGAAAGAGAGACAGGGATAGAGACAGAGAGAGAGAGAGATCCATTTTTCATCCGCTAGCTCACTCCCCAAAAGGTCAGAACAACTGGTGTGTTAGAGGCCTTCGTCTTTTAATTAAACTTGTTTCTAACATGATTAAAGTTGTGGTAGAGGCCTTCTCAAGGTCAGAAGAAGAAAAAAAGGGAGGAATCTGTCCTGGGAATGAAACGCAGTTATTATCTACTTGACTGTGAAATTACTATCTGCTTGAGTTCTTGCTTGTTAGCCCCAAGCGGTGGTGTTAACCCTTGATAGACAGCATACAGCTCAGTATGTGTAAAAGAAACATATCAGTGAATATGAGTGCATGAGCAGTAGTGTATCAGTTCCTATAGTTGCCATGTAACATCAGAATATCCAATCAAATGTATGCATGTAACCATACAAAGACAAAGAAGCTAAAACCTTATATAAAGAAACACCCCTCTTTTTCAAGGCTCAGGCTTTTGGATAAAAATCCAACTAAGCCTTATGCTGGCATAAAGATAACAACCACAATAATAACAATAATTTAAAAAATACTACTTCTGGGTCTGGCGCTGTGGCGTAGAGGGTAAAGCTACCACCTGCAGTACTGGCATCCCATATGAGTGCAGGTAGGAGTCCTGGCTGTTCCAATTCCCAATCCAGCTCTCTGCTCTGGCCTGGGAGAGCAATGGAGGATGGCCCAAGTCCTTGGGCCCCTCACCTGTGTGGAAGACCCGGAAGAAGCTCCTGGCTCCTAGCTTAGGATAGGCCCAGCTCCGGACATTGTGGATATTTGGGGAGTGAACCAGCAGATGGAAGACTTTCTCTCTCTCTGGTTCTGCCTCTCTGTAACTCTGCCTTTCAAATAAATAAATAAATAAATCTTGGAAAAAAAAAAAAGTACTTCCTGTTAAAGGACTTGGTGTCTCATCTCTGTTCACAAATCCTGCTATACCAGGCTGAAGCCAGAAACTGAGAACTCCACCTTGGTCTCCTGTGTAGGTGGCAGGAGCACAAGCTTTCCTAGGCACATTAGCAGGGAGCTGGATCTGAAGGAGAGCAGCTGTGACTGGAACCAGCACTCCGATACAGGAAGCTAGCATCTGAAGCAGCGGCTTAACTTTCCATGGCACAATGCCAGCCTTATCATATTTTATTAAAAGGTACTTCTAAAATTCACTGTAGGAAAACAGACAATTAAGCCTGCCAATTGAACCATGTTTGTCAAAAAGAAACTTTCAAACATTATTCATTTGTATTAAAAACAGGCAATAAAACCAGAATTAATACTCATTGTTGGTAAAAATATTTATAAAAGTATAGGACATATATATATATATGCACATATACACAAAATATACATAAATATATTCTTATATAATCTTTAACATAAGAGTCACCATAATGATTTTAAAATGATTAAAACTGTCATAAAACTGGTAAAGGTTGCACAACTCTATAAATTTACTAAATAAAAAAATCAAGGCCAGGTGGGTGATGGTTTAAGTGCATGGGTCCCTGCTATCCATGTAGGAGACCCAGATGGAGTTCTAGGTTCTCCTCTTTTGCCTTGCCCAGCCCCAGCTGTTGCAGACATCTGGGAAGTGAACCAAAAGATGGATGGATAGATCTCTCTCCCCCTCCATCCTTTCAAGTAGATAAAAATAAACATTTAAAACAAGAGAAATACACATTGAATTGTAACGTGTCAATAGGTGAATCCTGTAGTAAATTTTATTTCATATACATACACGGGGTGAGGCTTCTAAAAATTTGTGGAAAAATGGAATTAACAGATAAGCAAATTTCATAGGAGCTTTTAAAAGCCCCTCTGGTGTGTGTGTGTTTAAAAATAAAAAACAGCCAGCACTTTAACAGAGAAACATTAAAAGCTTTCCCACTAAAGTGAAGAAAAATAAGTCTCCAAGTACTACACGATGTTATGCAGCACTGGCCAATGCAACTGGATGAGAGAAAGCAGTAAATGGCACAACCATCGATCTGTCCTAAACTTCAATAATTTGCATACCACCAGCAACATTTTTTTCTGTGTCAATCGTGTAAACCGTTAGTCAATACTTTTCTCAATTTACTTTTTTAAAAATCACACATTCCTCTCATCCCATTCCTACTCAATTTCTTAAAATTGTGGTAAAAAATACATAATAAAATTTACTATTTTAACTGTACAGTTCAGTAGCAGTAAATTCTAAATGTTGGGCAACCACATGGTACCACTATCCATTTCTAGAAATTTTTAGTTATCCCAAACAGAAAATATGTACCCACTAAAAACTTGAAAGGCAAAAATGATGGCTCAATTAATTGGTTTCCTGTTGTTCATGGTGGGAATCCTCCTGGCTCTGGGCCTGGCCCAGCCTCAGCAGTTGTGGGTAATTGAGAGAGTGCAGTGAATGAGTACTTGTTTCTCTCTTTCTTTCTCTTTCTCTCTCTCTCCTTCACTTTTTTTCCCTCCCTCCCTCCTCCACTTTCTCTCCCTCTCTCTCAAATAAGAAATAAAAATATCTCTTAAATCACTTTAGGTATGCCAGCACATGTTAGACAACATTGTACTATAGTATGGGGTTGTTTATCACAAGAAGACTTTACTACAGATCAAAGCCAAATGGAAAACGACTAAAGTGTGGAAACAAAAAGTCATCACATTTCATTCTTAAATATTTTTAAATTGAGGCTTTTAAATGCAAAATAATAACTTCTGGGCTTATTTTTATTTTTAGCCAGATTATACCTTTATTTATATACAAAATTTTACTTAAATACAAAATAATAGTTTCTCTGAGTCTGACAATTAATATACTCTAAAATTTGCATACAGAATAAAATCCCACTTAATTATAAGTTGTGATTAAACAAGTATATTTATTGTAAGTTTTACTATGAAAAAAATAGAAAATATTTCTCTAATTCCAAAGGCCTAATTCATATACACAAAAACACACATTCTAAAACATTTTTGTTTGCAAATCTGCTCTTAAATCCATTTTTTTATTACCAGTTCCTCACAATGCTAAATTTTATCAGAACTTAGAGGAAATAAACCAGAGATTACTATAATTCAGTAAGAGCAGCAGTTAACATTTACTGAGAAGTGTCATCCACGTACTAGGCTTTAACAACAATGTCATATTTAATATTCACATATAACAAAGTATTTATACCAGCTCCACTACTGAGAAAGAAACAGCTTTAGAGTTTAAGAGACATGTCTAAGGTTACATCACTACTGGAGTTAGGCTAGGAACCCAGGCAATCAGATACACATACCAATATAATGACCGTTACTCAATATGAAAACCAAGTATCATAGTATTTATTGCAGTTCTATAAAATTTCCTTCTATAAAATACTATAATAGTTACTTTATTATTAAATATTCTATGCACGTACTATACTAGAACGAGTACTGCGATTGGGAATCTGTGACCTTGGTTCCTGGGTCAGTTCTGCCACTAACAAGCTTTCTGACTACAGGCAAAATACTTACCCATGGAAATAAGGGCCACAACTGGACAGGATAATTCTGAAGACCTTTCAACTTCTAAATGCTTATCATTGCTTTTTAAAATCTTGGTGAATTTTAGACTACTAACCTTTTGGCAGATATGACAATTTAGAAAGCCAAGAATAGAGCGGTAAGGTTCCAGAGAGAAATACAGGTTAGGATAAATCTCTTGGTTCCCCCTCCTCTTCTTTGTTGTTTTTAAGCTTCTGTTCTATGTTACATAATTGTAAAGCTGTCAGATCAAATTTTGTCAAGCACTTTATGCTCTACCCATGCGATAAACTAAAAAGCCTAAATAGCTTCTACATGAATGAAGAAGCTTAGCACAGCCTCAAGCAAACTAACTCATCAAAAAAACTGACACAGAATGGACAGTGAAGTGTAAAAAGTGTCCAGAATAATTTAAAAATTAAGCAAATGAGTATGTTCATCAATCCTGGCTAACCTGTACAAAGGCATAATATTCAGACTGCTTACATAAGAGCTCTAAGAGCTCTTATCAGCATCAGCTGCATTGTATCCATCTTTTACTGCTATCCCTTTTTTTTTTTAAATAATTATTTGAAAGAATGACTTGCTCTTAACAACAAAATACATGAAAAACATTTGGAAAACAAATCCCTGTTAATGTGACTTTTCCTTATTTATTGATTACTGGATATCAACTATACCCTCTAAAAATGGAAACCTAAGTTCAGTTCCTAAAGTATTTCATGATTCTTCTTTTCTTTTGAGAGGCAGAGACAGGGAAGGACAGCTCCCATCCACTGCTTAATGCAAAATGCTATGGCTGAGCAAGTACCATAGCTGGTAGCCAGGAGCCAGAAGCCATGAATGCAATCCAGGTTTCCCACATGAATAGCAGTAACCCAATTACTTAAGCCATCACGGCAACCTCCCAGGCTCTGCATTGGTGGAAAGGCAGAGTCAGAAGCTACAGCCAGGAATGGAACCCAGACATTTTGGTGTGGAACATAGGCATCTTAACCACTAAACAGCCATTTCAATTTCAAGAGTCTTTATTGCTACTTTTAGGGCTATACAGAGGGGACCAGATTCAAAAAGAAGTATGGACAGTTTAGAGCTTAAAGAATTCTCGGCCGGCGCCGCAGCTCACTAGGCTAATCCTCCGCCTTGCGGCGCCGGCACACCAGGTTCTAGTCCTGGTCGGGGCACCGGATTCTGTCCCGGTTGCCCCTCTTCCAGGCCAGCTCTCTGCTGTGGCCAGGGAGTGCAGTGGAGGATGGCCCAAGTGCTTGGGCCCTGTACCCCATGGGAGACCAGGATAAGCACCTGGCTCCTGCCATCGGATCAGCGCGGTGCGCCGGCCACAGCGTTGTGGCCATTGGAGGGTGAACCAACGGAAAAGGAAGACCTTTCTCTCTGTCTCTCTCTCTCACTGTCCACTCTGTTTGTCAAAAAAAAAAAAAAAATTTCTCAGTGAGAAAATAATGACCCTTTCAACCAACCCAAGTTCATGCGAATATTTCATGACTGTGTCTCAGACTGAGGAAAAGTTAGGTATTCAAGCAATGTAATCAGCAATGTACCCAACTTTTATACAGAAAGCCAGTTTCTGAACCCTATGGTTGTTCTCTTGATTTCTTCCTTTTCTTAATAAAATTATTTCTTTCCTACCTACCTACACTGTACCCATCAGATCAATAATCAAACTGACTTTTTCTTCTATTCCCTCCTGCCCTAGACAAGGTCCTAAATCCCGGATTCATCCAACCATTACCTTAACTCTGACAGGTGATCTCCAACAGGTCTCGACTCTGCTCAACAATTCTTTTCTGTCCTCTAAGAAATGAAACTGGTGGCCAGTGCCGCGGCTCAATAGGCTAATCCTCTGCCTTGCGGCACCGGCACACCAGGTTCTAGTCCCGGTCGGGGCACCAGATTCTGTCCTGGTTGCCCCTCTTCCAGGTCAGCTCTCTGCTGTGGCCAGGGAGTGCAGTGGAAGATGGCCCAAGTGCTTGGGCCCTGCACCCCATGGGAGACCAGGAGAAGCACCTGGCTCCTGCCATTGGATCAGTGTGGTGCGCCGTGGCGGCCATTGAAGGGTGAACCAATGGAAAAGAAAGACCTTTCTCTCTGTCTCTCTCTCTCACTTTCCACTCTGCCTGTCAAAAAAAAAAAAAATAATAAAAAAATAAAAATAAATAAAAATTTAAAAAAAGAAATGAAACTGGATTAACGGTACATGAGGACTGCCTATAAATCTGTAGATAGTGAAGCAGGAAGTTAATTGAGATCGATACTTGTTCCTCTTTTTGAGTAGAAAGCAAAACTACCTTTTGAAATAAAAATCACTAATCTAATGGTGGACTAAGCTCATAAAAAGCCAGGTAGAACAGAAGCTTGCTCTCTCCTCCTCATGGACTCAGGACAACCAGAGCAGGGTATGCTAATTCCTGGCCCACTCTCCCTAAATAAAGCCCTAATTCGCCTGTGTATTTTTTCTCACTTTGTAAATAAAGTTTATCACATTGCATGCCATGTTTGCACCAGTACTTAAAATTCTTCACTAAGTAAAAAGCAAGAATCTGGAAAATTTAGGCCCAACCTAGCTCACAACAATTATGCTGCACATGACTAAATTATTTCCTACAATATCTTCAGCCTTTATCAAAAACCCAAGAGAGGAGTACTTTATCTTCACTTGGCAGATGATAAAAATAAAACAAATCACTTGAGTTAAACAATGGAACACGACTAGCAAGCAGCAAAACTGCCTCCCATGTCCATTCCGTTCATCACAATGGTATGTGTGAAAGCACAGCATCTTAGGTAGTCCTAAAATGGTTAAAGATTGCTTACTATAGCAAAGTCTTATAAGAGTTCATCCTAACCAAAAGTTTAATTTACTTTTCACGTACAAGAAAATACTTCTACATTAGGAACTGCTTAAACATGAAGGTACTGAGAATTTGGTATGGTTTAGGACTTCAAAAGAAAAATTCAATGCTATTGCAAAAGTAATAAATACTTAAAATTATAAATGAACACATCAATAGCTGGAAATTAAAAACATACAGAAAGAAAAAGGAACCATCAAAAATATTAAGAATTAAATATTAAATTTTTATAGTTAAAAAATAAATTGATGAGGACAGAATTGTGTTGTAGCAGGTAAAGTCACAATTTGTGAAACGAGCATCCCATTTGGGCATGGGTTCAAGTCCTGGCTGCTCCATTTCTGATCCAGCTCCTTGCAAATAGCCTTGGGAAAGCAGTGGAAGATGGCCCAAGTGCTTGGGCCCCTGCAGCCACATGGGAGACCCAGATGAAACTCTGGGTTCCTGGCTTAGGCCTGGCTCAGTCCTGGTCTTTGTGGTCACCTGGGGAGTGAACCAGAGCATGATCTTCAAAGATATCTCTTGCTCTCTCTGTAGCTCTTTCAAATAAGGAAATACATCTTTAAAAATAATAAATAAGTTGACAAGATAGATCAATATATATGGGGGGGAGGGGGCGGAATCTGGCCCAGGAGCAATGTAAAGCCCAGAAAATCATTTGGTCTGGCCTAACAAGGTAACCACAGGTGGGACTAATTTCTGTAAATCTATGGCAGGTTTTTTTTTTTTTTTAAAGATTTATTTATTTGAAAGGCAGAGTTACAAAGACAGAGAAAAGAAACACAAAGAGATTATCTTCCTTTGCTGGTTCACTCCCCAGTGGCTGCAAAGATCAGGGTTTTGCTAGGTCCAAGACATGAACCAATGGCTTCATCCAGGTCTTCCCATGTAAATGGCAGGGCACAAGCACTTAGGCCATCTTCCACTGTTTCCCAGGCCATTAGCAGGGAGCTGGATCTGCAGTAGAGCACCTGGGACTTGAACCAGTGATCACATGGAATGCCACTGCAGGTGGCAGCCCAACAGGCTATGCCGCAATCCTGGCCCCAGTAGGCTAATTTTTTTTTTTTTTTTTTGACAGGCAGAGTGGACAGTGAGAGAGAGAGACAGAGAGAAAGGTCTTCCTTTTCCGTTGGTTCACCCTCCAATGGCTGCCGCGGCCGGCGCGCTGCGGCCGGCGCACCGTGCTGATCCGATGGCAGGAGCCAGGAGCCAGGTGCTTTTCCTGGTCTCCCATGGGGTGCAGGGCCCAAGCACCTGGGCCATCCTCCACTGCACTCCCTGGCCACAGCAGAGGGCTGGCCTGGAAGAGGGGCAACCGGGACAGAATCCGGCGCCCCGACCGGGACTAGAACCCGGTGTGCCGGCGCCGCTAGGCGGAGGATTAGCCTAGTGAGCCGCGGCGCCGGCCCCAGTAGGCTAATTTTTAAGTTGATAATTTTGTATAGCCCACGGATTATGATATAAATATCTACATGGCCCTTACCAGAAAAAAGGTTCCCCACCCCTTAAGATACAGAACCCATAGAAGATTTTCATAATTTTACTTCTTCAGAAGGCTAATGTTAAAAGAAAAACAAGACTACTGTCTAAAGGAAAAATTAAATCATTGTAGACACTATAACAGTATTTTTCAAGATAGTGTATGGGCCACTTACATCAGTAACAATGGGGATTTCTAATATATGCATACAATTTCCCAGATTCACATAAAACGTACTAAAATCAGAATTTTTATAAGCAGAGCTAAGACAGGTACATTTTTAGTAAGTCTTTCTAAGTGACCTTTTGTTTAATAAAGGTTGATAAATACAAAAATAAATGATTTAAAATATTTTATAACTTTTTAATAACCTTCAGGTATTCTTAACAGTTATTTAAAATCTTTCTTTTTAATTGAAAAAACACTTTTAAAAACTAAATATTTTGCTATTGTAAAGCTTTATCGTCCCATATATGTCCATGTTACAATTAATCTCTATAAAAATATTTGTTGCATTTGGGCTATTTATTAACCTTCCTTCATCACCAAATTTGAGATTTAGAAACTAACTTAACTAGGAGATGCAGAGGTTGGGAACCTTTTATCTGCCAAGGACCATTTGGATATTTTTATCATCATTCATGAGACATACTAAATTATCAATTTTTTTATTTTTATTTATTTATTTATTTTTTGACAGGCAGAGTAGACAGTGAGAGAGACAGAGAGAAAGGTCTTCCTTTTGCTGTTGGTTCACCCTCCTATGGCCGGCGCGGCTGAGGCGCTGCGGCTGGTGCACTGCGCTGATCTGATGGCAGGAGCCAGGCACTTATCCTGGTCTCCCATGGGGTGCAGGGCCCAAGCACTTGGGCCATCCTCCACTGCACTCCCTGGCCACAGCAGAGAGCTGGCCTGGAAGAGGGGCAACCGGGACAGAATCCGGCGCCCCGACCGGGACTAGAACCCGGTGTGCCAGTGCCGCAAGGTGGAGGATTAGCCTAGTGAGCCGTGGCGCCGGCCCTAAATTATCAATTTAAAAATTAGCCTGCTATATAGTTTTACTGAACTTCGAGTCCTACCTGTGGTTGCCTTGGCAGGGCTGGACCAAACAATTTTGCAGGCT